TGATCAACAAGAAAAATACTATAAAGAACGAAATTATATATATATATATATATATATATATGGCAAACATGTAGGTATTTGTGGAGGAGACGTTTGCCATTTGACTTGGCCAATGAAAGGTCAACCCAAAGTTAGTTGTTGAGCAAATTTGAGGATACTGGTGTAGTGCGAATTGGGTATCAAGTATCAACGTGCAGTATACTCAAAGGGAAAAAGGAAAAGAAATGAACTTTAATACAGTAACTAATTAGAAGTTTTCGCGACTTCATCATGTACAATAAATCATCAAAGATTGGATCTCTAATCAAATAATTTAATTTACAGGGTAATTCTCAATTTAGGACATAAAAGAAATAGATCATTCACGTCAAATTGACCAGAAACAGAATTGAGAGAGATACAACAATAGAAAAAAAATACAAATAAATTAATTTACAGGGTAATTGATCATTCACATCAAAATGACCATAAACAGAATTGAGAGAGATAACAACAAAGAAAGAAAGAAAGAAAAAAAAGCAATTTTTTGAAATCACAACTGAATCAATCATAATCTCATTCATCTCCAAGAGAACACTTTGTACATCTGCAACTCTTCTGTTTTGTTTTTTTTTTTAAGGATTTTTTAATTTGATTTATTGTGAATTTTTAACTTATTGTTATTTTAACAATATACGATGTTAAACTAAAGTAAATGCCTTGCACGTGATGTGATTTTGTTAAAAACTTAATAGAAATGGAAGTAAAGGGCTTAATTGTCAATGTTTTAAATTTGAGGCTCCTTTTGTCAAATTGTAAGAAAATAGATCAAAATATAACCTACTTAAAAGTTTAGGGACTAAAAATACAAATTACTTTTTTTTAGCGAGAGGAGAGAGAGAAAGTGAGTGGAAAAAGGAATTTACGAGCAAAATCGTGGCATGTCATAGGAGAATCAAGATATGTTGTCCTATTTTCTTATCTCGGTGGATGTCTTTCTAATTAAATTTTGACATCTCGTGAATTGTTTGAGCACCTGTTTATTTCACTAGTTTAGTTCAATTCAACTCAATTTAAACAATAACCATAGTTTGAACTGACATTTAGAAGCATGCAGTTTGAATTATATTTCATGTTTTAATTGAGTTAAATGGTCAAACTTAAAGTTTAGCTCCCCCCTCATGTTCAACCGTTCAAACTATTTTTGAACAATATAAAGTGCCCACTCTCTTTGTTTTTCACACCTGCCAAACACAAATTCGAATTTTATTTCATGTTCAAATTAAAACTTTAACTACACATCCAAACGTCAATTGAAACCACACAGTTTGAATTTTTTTGTTCAAATCAAAAAGTTCAAACCAATAAAGATTCAAACAAGCGAACCAAACAGGGACTAAGTATTTTTAGCATTTTGTTCTTATTTATGTGGTTAGATTGTTAAATTTAAATGATATGATAAATAACCGAAATAGAAAAATGAGGATAATAGATATGTACTCAACACAGGAGAGTGCGTAATGTAACACGCCAAAGCACCAAATGCTCGCGCATACTAAAATAATGTAAGGATTCAAGCCAAAAAAATTAAGAAATAATAGTGATAATAGTGTTGGAATTTTGGACGAGCCGCCCGCGACTGCCTGAAAAAACTGATTTTGAGCACGACGCCCGACCCGACCTGCCTGAATTTTTCAGGCCGCCCGCCCGAGAAAGCCCGTAGACAGGCCACGGGCCTAGTTTTGGCTACCCGAGCCAGCCCGAATTGTTAAAAAAAAAATTTTATTATAGTTTTTAATTTTTATAATATTGTATATATATATATATATTTTTATATATAATATACTATTATTTAGTAATTGTATTTGTATATAAATAATTATTAAGTTATTTTGTGTAAAATTATATAAAAACTAAAATTAACATTTAACACACATTATTAACACTTGTATATTAATTTTTAAATTCGTAATTCATGATTGCCTTGTTAAAAATCTTACCAAGAAAAATCTAATTGGGATATAAACTTAGTAAGGAAAAAAGAGTGCAATCATTTTGTGATGAATTACAAATTTTACAAACTTACAAAGTCTAAATATACAATTATAATGTCGAATGTAAATACATATTTACAAATTACAATTTAATTTGAAGCTGAGGGATCGTCTTCAAAATTAAATGTTAATCTATTAAATTTATCAATCCATTCTTGACTTGTCGGCAAATTGTATCCTGTAAACGCTGATCGGTACAATTTCAATCCTTAATGCAGACCAAGGCTTCAACAATGTCCCTTTACAATGCGTTTCGGCGTTCCTCAAGTATTCGTCCGGTCGTACTGAAGGCTTGTTTAGATAAAACAATGGAAATTGAGATCAAAAAAATATCCATTGTCAATCGAGTTAGGATTGGCCGAGTTAATGCTCTTGCCCTCCACCATTGAAGTAAGTCAAATAATTCTCTAGTACCGTCGACTACTAAGCTCTCACTGAGGTACGTCATAAGCTCGTTGAAGCTGCTGCCGCCGCTGCCACCTGTTGATGAAGATCCACTCCTAGCTTATGCGTCTTCTTCTTCTTCAACCCGAAAACATTCAAGAATGAATGCAGGTTTTCATCTTGTTGTTGTGATTCCTGTACTCCAGAGTTTGTGTTTCTAAACCTATTCTCATACTTACTATAGATCGAAAATATTTTTGCCTTTATTGTTGGAAATTGGTCAGAACAATTGATGCCTAAAAATTCACCTAAGTTTTCTAAACCACTTTCTAAACCGTATAATTTTAATCTATGATAAAAAAATAATACCGAAATCATACAATAAAGGCAATTTAGACCAATATTTTTAAACTTTTTTTTTTCCATAGAAGCAATATGAACTCCTAAGATTGGGTCCGCCCTGTATTCACTGAATAAAATACTAATGCTTAAAAGTTCACCTAAAGCTAAAGGTGATATTGGGTAATATGTTCCACTAAGTTTTAAAGTAACTTTATGAAACCTACCTAAAAATTGATATAAAATTTCAGCAATTTACCAATCATATGCTTCTATATGTCACGTTCCTAATTTTACAAAGATATAGTTTGTTATAGCATCCTTATAGGGGATGCATTGTTGAAGCATAAGATAAGTTAAGTTTCATCTTACAGGCATATCTAAGCCTAATGCTTTAGGAGGTAGATTTAATGCTTGTAAGAACCTAAACCAATCTTGTTCTCTTTGGTTACTATCTTGAATCCATGCAATAGTATCTCTAATTCTTTTAATGTGAGTAGCCATTTCTTTTAAACCGTATTTAACTATTAAATTAATTACGTGGCATGCACAATGTTGGTGAAAAATAGTACTATCACCGGATAAACTTAAATCATTTTTGAAGTACTCAATTATTTTAGTATTTGCACTAGCATTATCTAATGTTATAGCCATTACTTTATCTTTACATTTAAAATTATATTATATATTAAATCGGCGCTATGTGATCCTAAAACACATTTAAAACCTAATATTCTCTTATCTAAATCGAATCATTTAAAGTAATATCCGGCTACAGCTAAATAATCTTTATTGGCAACGGCAGACCAAATATCTGTCTTAACGCAACGCAACCGCTCGTCGAGTGTAAAAGGTTTATTAATGCTTTTTTTTTCTTTTTTAAATAATTTTAACAAATCTTTCCTAAGAGTAGTTTTTAAAGTGAACTGTGCATTAGGATTATGTACAACTTTAATATATCGTTGCCAATTAGGATGCTCTACAAAATTAAGTGGTTGATATGATGCAGCTATCATTCGTGCAACTTCCATACGATCTACTTTCGGATCATATTTCTAAGTGGTTAAACCACTAGTTGCGCGATCAAAACATAATTGTGTTTGACGGAGTTTGAAGCCGCCGGACTGGCTAAGCTTTCGAAGACACTTTTCGAAGTGTCTTCTCAAGTGTGTTGTGTTGTGAATAGTATCACCTTATAATTTAGATAAACAATATTTACACTGAGCTATATGTTTAGTGTTACCGTCATTGTCGATCTCCTCAATTGTGTCGAAGTGATCCCAAACTGTCGAGGTGCGCTTGCATTTCCTCTTGGAGGTTGCAACACTTGCAGACGCAGTAGCAGTTGCACTCGCCGCTTCTCCACGCCCACCACCATTGCAATCACGACCTCCAGTACGTCCACCAAGGCTCAGATTAGCAGATTCCTGCGTAATAAATTCATTAGTGAGAAATTGCCCTTCTTCCACGTTGTGTTGTGCATCAACATGAATACTACCATAATCAAAAGAATCCATTATAAAAAATAAGAGCTATTTGAGTGAGAGAGCTTTAGGATATTGTGATAGTTTTTGGAAAAATTATGAGAGAGATTAAGAGAAATTGAGAGAGATTGAGAGAAATTGAGAGGGATTGAGAGAGTTTGGGTGAGAAAAATGTGTGAGGGATGGAGGTATTTATAGGAAAATTTTTGGGTTAAAAATGTGATTTTTCCCCCCAAATTTAGATACAACGACCAGTTTTTCCTCGGCGGGTCGAGTTCGGGCCGAAAAATCGGTCACGGTAAAAAAAGAGACGTTGGAGTCGGGCATCTCGGGCGGCGGGTTGGGTCAGGTGCCAACGGCCAAAAATATAGCCGTTGGTCGGGCAAGTCGCCGGAATGAAAAAATTTCGGTGGACAGTGGTTGACGACGATCTCTTGGCGGTGGGCTCCGGCAATTCATCCATTTTCTTACAGTTTAAGCCCGAAAATGGAACTTGGACGGGCCGGCCCGCCAAGCCCGAAAAATTCAAGCTTTGAGCAGGCAAAATTCCAACACTGAGTGATAATGTAATGACGAAATTGATTGGATCGTCCTAAACTCTAATGTTACAGAAAAGTAACTCTATCATCATTTTCAGTTCTTTGCCTTCTTTTTGTTTTTGTTTTTTTGTTTTTTTTAAGTCTACTATATTCATTTGTTTTCAGTTTTTATTTTTATTTTTATTTTATTTTTTATTTTTCCTTCCTTCGTCAAACTCGCTCGGACGGATATTCCGTTGGAGAAAAAATAAATAAATAAATAAAAGAAAATTATCTCTAATTTTTTCAGAAGTAATGCTTTCGGATCTGAGATGGGTTTCGTAGATTTTATCCGACAATGATCACAACAATCATTTTGCTCTTCTGAAACTCCCATTCTCGTTTCGGCGTCTTCTGTATTATTATTATTATTATTTTCCTTTTTTCTTTTTGGCTTAATCTATCCACCAAATTCCGACACCATGAGGAAGAAGCTCGATACTCGTTTCCCAGCAGTAAGTTCTTCGTCTTCTTCTTTTCGATTATTCTTTTCTTATTTGGCTTTTGTTTATCCGTTTGAATTCTCTTCGGGAAAGGATCTTACTTTTTAGGGATACCCATTAATGCGAATTGAATTTCCTCAATTGTTTTTTTTTTCTTTGTGTAAATACATGTGGTGCGATCTCGATCTGGCTCATTTCTTGTTCTAAATTGTACTAAAATGTTGAAATTTTGGATTGGTGTTTCCCTAACTTGTCGTATTGAAATCCGATGATCTAGGTCATGATTGATTTTAGGTGGGTTTTCAAGGAGATCATGTTCGTTTATGTGTTCTTGTGACTAAAGCTGCAGTTTTTGTATTAGCTGAAAATTATTATCTCTCTATAGGTATTGGCATCTTTTATTTTATTCAATTTATATTTATCCTGATCAGTAAACAATTCATAGCTGGGTTTCTTTGATTTGAGAGTTTTTGGTGCAAAGGAAATATGCTTAATTTGTTTTCTTGAGGAAGTGGTATCAACTGAGTGGAGTTCTACTTGTGGGGTAATTTTATCTTCCAGTTTAGGAATTTGGGATCTGCATTATCTTTTTCAGGCTTTCTAGTTTCTCATAAGTGTTATCTGGATAACTTTTCGAGTATGTTCTGCATGAATTGTGGGTAATTGTCGGCCCTTGTGATCATTGGTAGTTAATGCTTTGTGGGCATTGCCTGTTTAACTAGTTTCCCTCAAAATATTTCTCGTGTTCCATTGATTTTATGACGGGAATTGGGTTGATGCTGTTGTTTGTTTGATCATTTCCTTTCAATTATTTTTCCCTAATTTAGGTTGGACGTGATAGGTCTTCGGTATTCTGAACTTTGAGAGCTGTTATTTGTCATGGATGAATAGAAGATACAGTAACACGTAGGATGTAGCGAACTAATTAAGGGAAAATTTTAATAATATCCTTTGTGTTTTTGCATGGCGATATTGTCCTTTCCAAATTTGGCTCTAGTTTTTGACATTTTCGATTTGTGGAAACATAGGGGTGAACATGAATTAAGGCAAAACACAGGGAGACTTTTCGAATCTTCCCTTTATATTATTGTATTCCAGATTTAGATCGCATGAGCTCCTTTCCATGTTAATTCTATACATTTTAAAGAGATTCACTCAGGACTCATGGCTGATAGTTAGATTGTTCTTTAACTTCATCCTTGAGGTCTGAACATGCTCATTTCCACAATAAATTTGTTTATCTCGATTCTCTTGCTTATTTCCCAAAAATATTTTAGGACATTTTTGGCTGCAACAGCTATTGGTGGTAGCGGACTAGCATAACTTTAAATTGTAGACAAAGCTTCTCAGTTATTTGCTCACTGCAGTTATTGATATTTCCTTCTTAAAATGATGAGGGCACCTAAGTTTCTAATTACAGGTTATTGGTGGTAGTTTATGTTGGTCTTGGAAAGATAGCATATGTTCTTGATGTTAGTAGAGAGTTTATAACATTAATGGAGGAGATGAAGATGCATCAGTAGTCATTTTTGGTGGCCTTGAAAAAGATCATTGTGGATGCCGATGGCAGTATTATCGTAGCGACTAACTAGATGAAAAGATGCTGTTGATGCCAGTGTGGTTAGGAAGGTGGAGGGAAAATCCGGGCCCGTTTGGAAGGTATTACTCAACTTATGATTTGGGTTCATTGGCGGGAACTTTGTGAGAGAGGAAATTTTGGAATTCAAACTCTTTGTGAGATAAAAAGCACTGTAGCAAAATCATGATTTGGGTTTGAGTATAGCTTCCAAACAACCCCTTGGTAATTGATGACAGGAACAATGACGGTGCCAATATGGATGCAATGGTGATTGGTATATGCCGCGATGGTGATTGTTACAAATAATGGAATACGTGGCTGTTATGCTGTCAATATATTGTACTTGGTACGGCAGTTGTAACACGCATTAATAGCGGTTCTGTTTTGGCAATTTTTGGTAGATGGTACTAACTGGTAACTACCAATTTTAGCTGGAATGAGTTGCAGAAAATCTGAGAATATAGGTGTAAAAGCATTTGACTGAGACCTCTAGTCCTTGATATGCTAAAAATCTTTTAGCTTCTCAGTCATTTAAATATCTACTCATTTTAAAATGACCGAGTTAGTTTTTTATACAAAAGGAATCCAGATTTCAGTAGATTCGTTGAAATCTTAAATAAGCAATAGAGATGAATATTGTTCTTAGAGAAATTATGATGGTGTTTTGAAGTCATTGCAATAACTAAGTGGTTGTGCAGCATGGTTTTTCAAGGTTATTTGGGTTAATATCTATTACTATGAGAGATGCAGTGCGCAACTTTGATCACTGAAGCATTATGTTAATATGTTTGATGCCTCAATCATGAAAGAGTGATATCAACATTTTGCATTTATGTTTTCACTTTTATCAATGGTGTCTAAAGAAGTTATCATTTTTGGCAGGCTCGAATTAAAAAGATAATGCAAGCTGATGAGGACGTTGGAAAGATAGCATTGGCGGTTCCTGTTTTAGTCTGTGAGTAATTATACTTTCTGCCAATAGAGTTTAGCTTGCAGAGTTCTCTATACATCCTTTTTTGCTGCTTACATTCTTCTTAGTATTATTGCAGCTAAGGCGTTGGAATTATTTCTGCAAGACCTCTGTGATCGTACATATGAGATAACCCTTCAGAGAGGAGCAAAGACCATGAATTCTCTGCATTTGTAAGTGAAGGATCTTTTTCCATGTGCACTCTAGTTGTCAACCATTTGAAACTAACACAAAGTAACTTTGCCATGAAAAAAAAAAGAGAGAGTAGAAGAAACTTGATTAAGATGTACAGTTCTTAAGGAGAGATTTCAACACACTAGTTAACATGGTTTTTTTTTTCAGCGCTAAAAACAATATGCGTAACATTTTAATTTTAGGATGCAAAATGGAAATTTAAGATTCCGTTTGGGCCAGCATAGTTTCGCAATATTAACTTTTAAAGCAGATACTACTACGTTTCGTTTCCAACCACATTCTCTCAATGCTCTTCACTAGAATGAGTTTGACTGAAGTTAAGAAAGATACAAATTATACAATTAACAGATTGGAGGACAAGAAGTCCCTATTCATTTGAGCCACCTAAAAAGGGGGGTGGGGGGCGGAAAGTCTCCTATTCAAGCAGAAAAGCATACATTTCCAAACCATTTCTCCAACTTAGAAGCCAAATCAAAAACTCAAAACCTAATACGTTTAAAGTTCCAAATTCCTCCAGTGGCTTTGCACTTTGGTAATCATGTCCGAAAACAAATGTACAATTTAGTCTTACCTTTTCTGCTACATCAAGACACTACTAGTGTTTTCATGTGATTACACTTAATAGACGATTTATATGGCTTATGGTTGTTGATCTTATTGTTTTTGTACCAGCTACTGAGTCTGTTACTGCTTTTGTGTGTGTGAATTTTGCTTTTCTTTGATTGCATCTCTTACCTTTAAATGTTTGTGAGTGTGCGCATGTTTTCTTTCATTTTCTCAGTATGTTTGGATGTTACCAATTGTTACTGTGTGTTTATATGTGGCTGGGTGTGATAAGTGATCCTACCAATGCTTTTAAGTGATCCTGTCAATGCTTATTTAAAACAGAAATAGGAGTGATCTCACACGTGTGTCATAAAAAATAAAGTAAAAAGGATGTTATTCCTTTGAGTGTGTTTGTGTGTGTGTGTTCAGATCAAATGGAAAATGTTTCGGTGAATAATTTTCTGTTGGTTGTTGTCCCTATATCTGTCTTTCTGTTTTATATATCAAAATCTAATTCTTTTTTTTTATCTCTTAATTACAGAAAACATTGCGTACAGAGCTATAATGTGTTTGATTTTTTGAGGGACATTGTCAGCAGGGTTCCCGACTATGGTCACGGTCACTCTGATGCTGCTGGTGATGATCGTGGCATTTCAAAGAGAAGGTTTGAATTGTTTTCTTCCGCTTTTGGGTTGTTCTATACTATTATTCTATACAAAACTATTGTCATAAGATAATTGACCACATATGTACATATGAGTCGATAATGTTATGGTTCTTGATATATCATTACTGATGCTGATTGGTATGGGTGTGCAAGTGATAATATTCTGTCGACTTTTATACTTCAAAGAGGGATGCATATGGGTGGATCCTCTTGCTTCAGTTCCTTGTGAGATTGTTTAATACAGAAAATGTTCTGATGTACTCATTCACATTTTGTTATTTCAGGAAGGCTGCAATTGATGAAAACGACAGTGATGAGGAGATGAAGAGGAGCAAGATGGTAAGATTGTTCATGTCTTACTCTTAGAGCAACTGAAATCATTCCACGGTGCCCTTATTTTGTTGGGATAAAATCATTTTGGTACTCTGTTATAGCGAAACATACTCTTGGTACCTTGTGTTTTTTATAATATTAAAATGATACCTCGTATTTTTTAAAAATATCTTCTTGGTACCCTGAAGTTGATTTTTAGGACGTAATGTCCAAACTACCCTTGTTAATTAAATAGAAATCAATATTTCTTAAAAAAATTTAAAACATTAAAATATTTAAAAGAAACAAAAAAAAATAAAAAAGTTCATGATTTTTTTTTCTAGATTTATTAGTTCTTGGTTAATTAAATAGAAGGGTAATAAGGCCATTTTACGTCTCAAAAATCAACTTCAGGCCAGGGTACTAAGAAAATGTTTTTAAAAATATCGAGGTATTATCAAAAACACAAGGTACCAAGTGCATGTTTCTCTATAATACAGGGTACCAAAATGATTTTATCCCTATTTTGTTTTTGGTATTTTCATTAATCGTGTCAAAAATGGGTATCCACTTTAAGATAACAATTTAATTGCAAGTTTGTTGGTGACAGCATGACTAGTTTTCTGTAGCAGTATTTCAAACTATTTTCTTAATATATCAACATTACGAATCAAAACTTGACTGATTGTTTGAAGTGTTATTGAGAGGCAGTGCAGAAATCTCAAACTGTTATCATAGGTTATCATCTGAAGTGCAGTCCTATGGGACTTTAATAGGTGAAGCTGGGTTTTATTTTTGTCGATTTTCTTTCGTTTCAGCAGCATGAGATGGGGCACGGCAGTAGCAGTGGCAGAGGAAGAGGCCGGGGTAGAGGACGAGGGCGTGGACGTGGTGCCCGCACCATAGAAAGAGAGACTTCTCACCTTGAGACTGAATCTGAACCCTCCACTTCTGTTCAGTTTGGTACCAAACAAAATACGAATCCTGCAGTGCCTGTGGAGAATTCTACTGATTTAAGGGACCCGTCCAAGGAAAATATCAGCGCCTCTGTTGACAATGACCCAACATCTCGAAACATTGACTTGAACGCTGATGTAAATGAATCAGCAAATGAAAATGAAAGTGCGAAGCAGGCGGGGGCGGCGGCGGCGGCTGCAGCTGCAGTCCAAGCATCATCAGCTGGAGCGATTTCTGAAACCAAACATGAAGAGTACCCCGGTTGGTCTCTTCCTGAGATGGATCAAATGGCTATCGACCCTATTCAACTTGCTCATCTCAGCACAAGGTTAGACGAGGAAGATGAAGATTACGACGAAGAAGGCTGACCAAGCGTGTAGTTATACATACCTAAAGTAGTAGTAGTAGTAGTAGTTGTTGGGATCAGAATTAATGGGAAGCTTTAAGAAAACGCACCGATAAAATAACATGTGTGCGCAAAGATTGAATTCATTAGATGTGGAAAGTGAGCCCTGTCCCCTTAATGTGATGCTCCTACCAATAGTTATTCTCCCAAACAACCATTTAGTAACGTAGTTTTTTTCCTGACAATTGTAGCGTTATTTGCTTCTTTCCACACTTGAGAAACTCCTTTCAGAAGTGTAGACACAGCATGGTAGCTTCGATTGTGGTGGATGGCCTCTTCTGAAGCTTTACCCTTGTTATTTATGAATCTGTTATGTTGCTTTAGGTTTTCACTCTTCTGAAGCTTACCAAATTCCATCTGCTTACTGGGAATTTGGTTTTTGTTTCTTAGGTTTTCACTCTTCTGAAGCTTACCAAATTCCATCTGCTTACTGGGAATTTGGGAATTTGGTTTTTGTTTTTGTTTTTGTTTCTGTTTTCCATAGCACAACGAGCAAGAAGTTCTGTTTACGCTCCAAGCAGAAAGGAATGTTAAATCCATATATTCCTTTGGAACATCAGATACCTGATTGATTATTCTGACTTTTTTTTTTTTCTTTTTCTTGTGTGTGTGGGTTGATATTGTGTTTCTCAAATATTTGTGATCAAGATGGGTGGCAAAAGTCCAAAACTTTTGCTAAGCGAGAGGCCTTACATCTTGATTTTACATCACTTTTTTGCTGATTTGATTAGGCGCGAGCATCCAATCCAATCACGTTTGGTTCATGAATTAGAATCATGTTATTAGAATTATTTTTGATTTACATGTATTTTTTATGAAAAAAAATACTGTAACGAACCATAATTCAAATCAAGGAACGAATCTAGATACCAATCTTCCCTGTTTCGAACACATCCAAATCCAATTCTAATGCACAGAACCAAATGCAATTAGATTTTTTTAGTTTTTCAATATGGATTTTTGAATACTATATCCTTATCCGTTTTTCAATATTGATTTTTGAATACTCCTTATCCAATATAGATATTGGTCAAAACTAGAAGCATCAAATATCGCGAATCGAATCGATCAGAACCGTTGGTCGATCCAATCCGGTTGTTTATCAATTACATTGGATAGTTATGATAATATTTGCTTCACTTTTGTTCCGTCCCCACACGCTACACTGGCATTATAGTGCTGTTGGTTCCTGTCAACTACACCAAACTAAAAGGCCCGTACTTGCTTTGGCATTCAAGTTATGACAAAGAGCGCCTTTGGTACGGCGGTAACAGATTTACACTTTTTCAAAAATTGAAAAAGGTTGAAGCATTTTTCACTTTAATAATTGAAATTGGTAAAAACCATAACAGTTGCAAAGTAATATATATAAAAATAATAAAAAAAGCCAAATCATGTATTGGAAAGATGAGAGAGAGCCGCAGACCAGCGGGTATTACGAACTCGCCTTATTTTATACAAGTTTTTGAAGCCGCTAACTATATCTAATCGGCTTCATGACCTGTAGAGTTGAAAAAGTACTAAAAACAGCGGTAAGAACATTCTTGATTGCGTACAAGCTCTCCATGTTAAAAGGGGTAGGTCTGAAATCAAGATGAGTCTGGTTCGATCTGGTTCAGATGGAAAGTACCCTCACTGTTCTTATGCACTTCAGCTTTATATTTCTCTTCTTTGGTTCCCCTCTTCACTTTCAAGATCATGTCAAACTTGGCAGAATTATCAATCACCTGCTTTTGCATAATAGTAAACATTTGTAAGTACTAATATTAACAGATTGGAAGCACTTTAAACTTCACAAACCTTAATATTAACTAGAGTTACGTTGTGATTTATACTATTGGAACAGCATATCAGTATAGAAATCACTACAAAGGTCAAATCCCATATCCCAGTTATTTAAAACGAACAGTGAAGAAGGGGGGGGGGGGGGG